ACTAAACCAGTTAGAGGAACAGTTAACCAACGGTTGGAAAACATTCAGAGAGATCAATTATATCGCCACAACTACGTACTAACAACTGCGACTCACGGGAACCTCTATTTCGCATTTATACGGTTTACCTAAAGTGCATAAACCAGGTATATCCTTGAGACCAACACTTGACATGAGTGCTTCGCCATGTCACTTAGTTGCCAGGTGGCTTGCAGATAAACTCGATCCCGTCTGTCGACGCATTTCACGTTTCAGTATGAAAGACACGTTCCAGTTCGTAGATCTTTTGAGAGAGAAGAACATAAATAGTCTGGGGATGGCCTCTCTAGATGTTACTTCGTTATGCAATAATGTGCCACTTTTCGAGACGATTTCGTACCCGTGCTAGTGGAAAACGACATCAACATTGGTATTCCACTGACCAACCTGAAGGAATTGCTACTCCGTTGCACATGCAACATTCAGTTCACTTTCAACAATGAAATCTATCGTCAGACTGACGGAGTTACCATGGGTTCTCTCCCCTCATAGCTGATATCTTTGTGACAAACTAGAAAACCATGAGCTCAGAACAAACATGGATAGTCTGTCTGTTTATTGTCGGTATGTGGATGACATCTTTATCTTCACACATGAGGAAACCTCGTTGGAAATGCTGTTGAGAAAATTCAATGAGGCACACGCAACTAATAATTTTCCATCAGAAGCCGAATCAAGAGAGACCTTCAATTTTCTTGATGTGATACTCACGCGACGTAGTGATGGTTATTTGAACAGATTTGTTTATCGTTAGCCATTGTGAACTGGGCAAAATATTCACTTTGTACCATTAACACGGAAACGCAACGTTATCCGTTCCCTCGCGGCCCGTGCAAGATATATTTACTCAGCAAACGGCTTAGCACGAGAATTGGAGAATATAAAACAGATGTTTATATACAATGGTTACTCAGAACGGTTCATTCGGAAAAACCTATCCGAAACCCCCAAGAGACCTCCAATGAAAACAGTGAATAAGAAATATTTATACCCACGACTCCAATTCACGGGAGATTACAAAATTGAGGTAATCCCCGGCGTTTAGAAAGAGCAATCACACGCACATTTCAGGCGGCACGTTTACGCCTCCAGTGAAACCGATTATTTCCATGAACCTCTACTTTCGCTATGATTACCTACTCATTCGTTTGTTCATGTTCGGCAAGCTACGTAGGTAGAATCATCAGGCAGTTTTCCCAGAGGATCAAGGAACACAAACCAGCTTTGTTGACCAATGGAGTGAGAAAACCCAGCTCAAGTGCCTTTGCGGAACAACTCGCAAATACGGAGCATACTGTGAATGAAGATGCCTTCAAGGTAATGTACCGGGGGCCTCTTTTTCCGTTTAAGGATGTTCGTCAAAAACATTTATCAACAGCTGAAGCAGTGGCTATCCATTTGTTTAACCCATCATATTGTTCACAAAAAGCAATCTTTTGAAGCACTTCAACCTCATGTGACACATCCCTTTTCTCATCCACACTCCACCGCATTTTTGGGGAACCAAAAGGTCCAGTAATTCTATCTACGAATCAAATCCGCACACACACGACAAACAATGGTCGGTAATATTGTGCAAAATGCAATGCTTTCGGTTCAAGGTGGCTTTCGATAAAGCCTATCCTCATTCTGACCGTGTCGTACCATTGTATTAGAATAGCTACCGTAGCGTGATGTGATATAAATGTAAATAAACCTAATAGATTTATCGATTTTTCTATCTAAAAGTGGTACGTTTTAACCATAAAAGCGTCAACGTGTGTATTAAATACGACTTGGGAATTACATGTAATTAGGGCTCTCCAAAATACCCCAGACGGAATGAATAATTGCCTTAATTGTTGTGAAACCAACATTTGTTTTACTCCAAAGCCTTTCATCCATTGTGCTTTGGCTTTTGGTATGCAGCACACCTTGCCGACACTTTATTGCAATTGTGTGGATTGCGTCAGTCCCCGGTCGGATAAGAAATGTGAAACATCTACAATTCGCGGTGACATTCGCGGTAATTAAATCTGCAAATTATTTTGCCAGGACAAACAAACACATACTGATCTACTGCATGACAATTAATCATTGGCATGCTGTGTACATCGCACGGAAATCATGTTCACCTCGGCGAGTGAAATACATGACACGAAACACAGTCAAACTGGGAATTGGTTTTACCAAATGTAAATTAAATTTTTGATAAACAGGAAGTAGGCAGACCTTGCTTCCCAGTCACTTGTGTGAATGAGGTGATTGCATACTTGTATTTGCACAACAGAAGCATGCTGTGTCGGTGTATTTGTCTACAAAGTTACTGCAAAGAAGGTGTTCTGAGATGTCCGTGAATTTCCAAGATTGGAACCGATAAATCGAACGTGGTAATCCGGACCGTTCCCATAGGAATGAATTGAGTGTTGGTAACCGGTTACATCGCCTGATGGGGGAGGTTTAGTTTTGGTTTACGTCTAGATGGCGTTGGTAGCTTTTATTGGCTGAACTTCAAGGGACGCTGGGGAACATTCCTCTGTTTCGTGTTGATATCGATTCGCTGTGTTTGAGCCTGATCGATGCGCTTTGTAATTTCTCTTGGTTTTTAATCAATTTTCCCTTTATCACCAGAAACAGAATGATTGTATGCTGCCTTTGGTTACAGCTTTTGCTTACAGAATTGTCGTTTTTCTCAGTGACTTTTGGAATGGATCTAGTTATATAATAAAGTAGCTCGGATACTTATTGAACTATATAACGTCTGTGTAGCATAATCGGTGTGCGGTCTATTGTATGCTGGTATCAAAAGGGGAATCGATAGATTTGTAATGAACCCTAATGTCGGGTTTGGTGAGCAACATGCCTTATAGCCTTGAATGTTGCCTGAACGCAGTGCGTTGAACATCCTAGTTCCTTACGAACATTGCCGCCTAGATCCTGTTAGCTTGGTGCACACGGTGATAGCTGATTTCAAGTACACATTAATAGGGACCTCTGTGACGAAGAGGTACAACCGTGCGTTTCCTAATATCAAATTCAATGTCATTGGTTTTAAAACCTCAGTACGTCGCGTCGAGTGTTCCTTGTAGGGTATCATGATTCTCAGGATTTTGTATCGTTCTCCATGGTCGTCGTCAGCGAGCAAGAGTGGCTTTTCACCAAAGACAGCTGGCGGGTCGTTGATGAATGCTACGAAGAGGTACGGACCATGTACTGATCCCATTGGAGCTCTACGGACTGGAAGTGATACGGTACATTGTCGAAGAAATTTCTTAAGCCAGTCAAATAGCACAGGATAATTGTATTACTTATGAGAATTGTATCGTCACTAGCATCGCTCAGGTGACGGAAATCATCGCTTTTCTTGTCCAATAGACCGATAATAATGTCAGGTATACCTAGTCGTACAGCTGTTTTATTGATATATATACATAGATATATATCACAATAACAACAAAACCGGGTGACGTTTGATAGACTGCTCTTTCACAGCCAGTCCATTGAAGAATCATTGCTAAGACTCCAGGGACATTTTGTTCATTTATTCACATACTACTTTTTATGAAACATATATATGTATGTGTGCGTGAAGGCGGATTCAATCTATTTTGATTTTCATCGATACACCTTTGCTGCGGTTCTTGTATCTGTGGTACTTCTGCTGCTGATACATAAATGAGATACATATCCCGACCCAATTTGAAAAAAACATCCGGATTTCGCGTGTAAATGTCTTCTTCAGAATGCCAATCAACTCATCAAATCGCCATTGAACACCGGTCTGATGTTTAATTGCAAAAATCATTTTTATTTCAAACATATTGTGTTGAATCTCAAAATTATTATTTTGTATGACAAATAATTTAGTTGGGACTACCAATAGAATAGTTTAATGAAATCGTGAGGCTGCTTATTATCCGAATATCTCTCTTTTATTCAATTACTCGATTGTTTGTAAAAATCCTGGAACGGATCGGGTAGAAAATCCTAAATATAGTCTGAAAGATACTTTTGAATTTGTCAATCTAATTAGGGACCTAGACGTCAAATATTTAACAATGAGCTCGTTGGAGATACAATCACATTTCACAAACGTGGGACTATTGGGGACGGTCACTTATCTCTGCCAGTTAGTACATCGATGAAAACAACATAAAAGTTGTTGTTCCAACTGCAAATGTTTNAACTATGTACATATGATATCCAATCTTCTTTTAATGGCACAATCTACGAACAGACGAACGGTGTAGTCATGGGTTTCCAACTTGGCCCACTTCTTGCAGATGTGTTTGTAGCCAAGCTGGAAAAACAGCAAGCTACAGTACATCATTCATCAACTCCCATTACACTACCTTTATGTCGAGGACATTTCATTCTTTCCAACTGAAGTAATAAACTGAACATAATATTGAATCCTTTTAGCCGAACTCATCCGTCAATCAGCTTTACCATGAAAACAGTAGATCAAAATACCTTACATTTCATCGATGGTAACCTGAAGAAGGGGCCCAATGGAAAGTTATGCCATTCAGTTGTTCGAAAACCAACCTGGAACGGTTAACGCATTCATCTCCAAAGTTTCGTCCTAATCAAATGCAAACGAAACTTGGTCCATTGTCTGGCCTTCTGAACTCGAATGATTTACTCCAAGGATCTATTGGAGGAAGAAGTTAGATTCATTAAATCTATACACCCCTGAATAACGCATACGCGGTGCGTACCATCGAGAAGAACTAAATAGAAAAGCCGACATTGCTCAAACCAATCATGGTCAGAAAGAAAGAACTATTCTTGCAGCTCCCATTTGAAGGCGATATGAGTGGTGATCTGCTAAGAAGACGTCTGGAAAAAGCAATTGCATTAACATATCCAGCCGCCACTCTACATATAATGTTTAAAAGCTGGCCACAGCCCTGCACAAACCTCAAGGATAAGCTATCCATCCTCTCCTCATCTATACTGAGATAGTCCTTCATTTGTACATGTTCGGCATAATATGTAGGACGAACGAAGAGACAGTTCTCACAAAGGATCAGATAAAAACAAAACCGGCTTGGCTTAACACGGGTTGCAAGAAAACAATAACCGGTGCGATTGTGGCCCACATCGCTGATACCGGGCACCAGCCAGACAACGATGCATTTGAAGTCACTTACAAAGTGCCCCGAGACCGGTCGAAGTACGTTCTGAAACGTCACTTGGCAACAGCAAAATCTGTAGCAATCAATATCATGATCCCACCACAGTATACACAGAAGAAAATGGTAGTCGCATTCCAGTTGCCTGGTCCCAACCAGACCTACGTGATGATCCGAACCGTAACCTTAGTCACGTGGTGATGACGCAACATGGCGTTACAAGTTGTACGTAAAAAGGTCATCGGAAATTTCCAGAATTGAACTTGGTCCCCGTTCCCTCTCTAACCCTTTGTATTTTCACATTAGATATAAAAACCCACAACTGTAAATGCCTGAAGACGAAGTTGCGAAGACAAAGTTGTTTGCCACATTGATTGTCTTTCGCTATTCTTACGGGAATCTTTCATGAATCCCAGTTGTTTGACAATGTGATTTACCGATGCGCACACAAACATTGCGAGTGTGAAACAGATCAAACAAAGCGCCTGAAAACACTCGTGTATCATCATCACATACGATTTGCACGGTGGTTTCCAACACACTGGACAGTGTGAACAGTTTTTGAACAGGGATTTACGAAGCTCATTAAACACGGATGCAACAGAAATTCCTCATCTGATTTAATCCCTACGCTGCTCGCTCAACCGCGCGTAATTCATCAATAAAGACGGTCCGAGGTTCAACCGGAACAGCCCAACAAGGCAACTCATTCCGACCGGATACTTGGATGATTACGCAGATTCATTTGCATACAAAGACGTGTACGTGTGTGCGTGTGTGTTTGTGTGTGTGTGAAAACATCCTGGACAACGAAAAACAGTCACGCATATTTCTGCTGTGACAATTTCATTGATTGCTTAAACCGGGTGAGGGGGGAGGGTTGAAATTCTCTATTATATTTGTAATAATAATAATACTGTTCAATACCATCACCTGTGCTTCTAATTAACTCCGCTTTAAACTTACATATGTAATTTAATTTTACAATGCGAAATCGATATTTTCTCCGTTAATCCCTCTGCATGCCGTGTAACCTTTATGGAATTGCAACGGATTTTTATTCCTCCAATTTGGTTCTCACAGTCGTTTGATACATGTTTTTGATTGCTCAACTGAATTAAGTTAGTCACACTATTTAACTCATTCTTCATAAGTTCTAAATTTGATTATTATTTGGCGACGGTTCGGGAAAATAATATAAACGCTCTCTTCACGGAGTATTTTTCTATTTGTTTTCGCGAAAAATTTAGAAATCATAAAATAATCAGAACACACATATCTTGGATGAACGTCTGTTTGCGGTGAGTTCGTTCTCGGCTCCGTATAATCACATTTCGGGTAGATAATAGCGACCAGAGGGTTTTACGGAGGGGTCAAACAGTCGAAATCAGTTACTAATAACAAATGCGTGGGGCAGGGATACGTTAACCTCCAGTTCTCGTAAGCGGTTGTAACTGATTTACGTCATCACAAAACCGAGGAAAATTTGAATGCTTAAACACGTGTTTTCTGTGCGCAAAATACTTGCGGCGACAGGCGAACGATAGTTACCTACGGTGCAGTCAACGTTTTATTTCCAACAGCCTCGGATTTGTGTTGTGGGCCGTGATAAATGTATTTTAATGTCTGCTTTTTACTTCCTTTTAAATTTAAGTAGGCAATTGGACGGTAATTTGACGATCCCTTCTTTGAAGTTAATTTGGTCAAGGCTGACCTCCAACGGTCGGGGATCGTTTTGGATGACAAACACGTGCTGACAAATTCAGCATTAGGTGTTGCAAGCTGGTCAGCGTACGAGTTCCAAGTATGAGGGGTTGATCAATCGAGACCAGGGTTAATTGTCTCTTGAGTTGGAAAAGCAGGTGGGAGCGAGCTTGAGGCAAGCACTGACGAAAATTTATGGCCAGTTACCGCAAAGGTGCGACAAGAACTCAGCCATCGGTTCGAATATAAATGTTTCACACGGGGCAACATTGTTCATATCAGAAATTAAGTTGATCGGTAAGACATTCGCATGACATTCAGTAGAAGAAACTAAGTCCTGGAGTCTAGACAAGTTCTCCGGGGAACAGTTTCTTTTCCGTAGAGTATGCGATGTGAATTGGGTATGAAGATAATGTTCAGCTTTGCAGTGTATCTTGGGCTAAAAAGAAGAACCATACGGTGTTCAGAAGTGCTGATTGGGGCTCTTTTAAGAATGTGAAAAACGTTGGAACTATTTACAAATAAACTATCAGGATAAGCATTGGTTCGTGTTGGAAACTTGACAAAGTTCACTTAACCCAGAGTAGTTAGACAGGAAGTATCGAAGCGAACACAGCCTCTAGTGATATTGCACAAGTCAAGTCAAGCTTTGTCACCAAATAGGATAAATTTTCAGCATTTTCCACAAGTTATATAGCGAAGAAAACGTTACGCCTTGGAAAAAAGAAGAATATGCATTTACTAAATGAAAAATAAATAGATGTGATAAAATCCTAATGTGAGCGATACTTGTACAAGTCAGCAACAATATTTGCTCGGTTGATCAAAATGCGAGCAAAATAAGGGACGACACTGTGTTCTGTATGTGGTGGTGCGAGCACAACGAATCCGAAATGGGGAACGGGTACTCGGATGAGACAGCAGCGCAGGTAGTGTTCTTTGTTGGACAGAATATGGCTGATAAATCGATCGCATGAGTCAAAATGCTTGCTCACAATGAAATCAACCAAAACTGTCTTTGAAATGCCACTGCAACGGGAAAGAAGTTTACGGGATCTAGAAAAGAAAATAAAGTCTTTCTCCTTCAGACCAGGAAAATATACGGGGGAACAGTACAACCAATGTGGAAGAATGCAAACAGTCACAAATTTAAGAATTGCATTTAGAGGAACACCGAGGATTTTAAGCCTAAAAGCGTAAAAGGATAGCCTACGAACCCTCAAGGAAATGTTTTCAACGTGTTTGTTACGTTTCAAAGTAAATCCAAGATTAATTGGCAGGGTATGCTTTGGGGATTATACTACTATTATAAGAACATTCAGGGTTTGATAATGCGTGCCTGTGTTGAGGCTAAAATAGGCATCTAAAAACTTATCTACTTTGAGCGTCAAAGATCGGGGAGTCGACCAGCTAAATATTTTATTTAGACAAACTTGAAGTTGACAGATACAGTCAGGATCAGTCGAGGGAAAACCGACCACTACGTCATCGGCATACTTGCATCCGATAAAGTTGTGAGTGGATGGGAAGGTCCTTAATGTACAGTGGAAAAATAAATGGAGACAAAATTGCATCCCGAAAACGCCCAGAGTTAACTCCCAGCAGAGAGGAAGATTTGCCGTTAAAAACGTAAATTGCGTCCAATGAGTGAAGTAATTGATTACTACATGCAACAAATCAGGTGCCAGTCCACAATCCACAAGGACTGGTCAATACAAGTAGCGAACTGTATTACTATAATATCAGCAAATAGCGTTATGTCAGAAGCGGATGTATCAGGGGTAATGCATATATTCACAAAGTAAATGAAACAAAATCTGCTAACAAGTTGGGACTTTCAGCGAACAAAGATCCGATTAATTTTGCCGGTTGAGTAGACAAAAGATAACTCAGTGTTGTTGCACTAACTTCGATTAACCAAAGTGACCACTCCACCACCTATGTTGTGAAGTATCCCAATCCGGTGGCTACTGAAACCATCAAAGCCATCCCATCCGACCGCGTCAGCCTCCACGTCTGAGTGTAACCAACGTTCCTGGAATAAAATGACACCCACACTTTGCATTGTTTCTGATGCACCAGATTCTGGACATCATCAATGTTTCCCACATATGAGCGAGTATTACCTGAACAAATGGGCGGGATCGGCATTCCGTTGATAGAAATTCACCCTAAGCGCAACGTGCCAGCCAGCGCGATGCTTTTGATGATGACCTTGACTTAATCCTCGGTGATGATTTCTCACGGAAGCCGAAAATCGGATTTCATACGCGAAAACACAATGACATTTCATAACAGAGGCGCTGTAGAACTGATTGTGCTTGATATTGAAAAATTGATGAATCGATGTAAACGTGCACAATCGAGAGTATCCAGCTAAAAAAATTGTCCAATTCGAAAAAAGCACAACCGAAATTCGAACGCCCCACTTACCGTCATGCACGCGTAAAGGATTTTCTGGCTAAATTGTGTTTGAGAAGGGTCAAGTAACCCGAAACCCTCGAGTTTCAGACTCTAACAGCAAGATGAAGCATACTTACTGATCGGTGTGTGGTAACGCTAAGTACAACAGAGCGTTTTACACGCTTGAATTACCTCCCACTGGTACTGGTTTGCTTATTCTGTTCATCGTTTCCTCAAATTCAGTTCAACAGAAGATGATCCCCTCTCTGTCTAAGATGGTTACCTTGTCAATCCATGCATATCGCTTGTTCCCAAACAGCAAAACAAAACGAACCAATGTACACCAGAGTAATTTGAGTGGGCAATCTTTCTCGACAGTGGTGAGACCGATTTGCTAGGACACTGTTACTGTTGTGAAAGCACTTCGTGTGATATTGTTCACCTTCCGTTTCACGACATTTGCCATCATGCAACTGCATTTCCAGGAAACACTTTTGGCTCTTCTGGGGGTTCAAACAAATGAATGAATCCACTGAATCTATGAGAATGAAAATTTTCTCATACATTTTTCATGCTGATATTATTTCATCCGTTATCCAGTGACTAATACAGATCATTTTTTCGCAGATCTATTGGGTGAAAACCCAGTGACGCTGGTAAATGCCGTGTCAACTGGTCTGCTCTAGAAACGTGCCACGACACACCTCTGAATTAACTGCGGCACTACACCAGTCTCTCAAAAACTTGCCTCCAAGTTATTTTTTTATTTGGTAATGGTTTCGAATACGTTTGTTTGTAAACCACGAAAATGGCCTTTTAGTGAGGTGAACTGAAGGATGACCGTATAGGCTGTTACGCCGTTTCTGAAAACATGACTTTTCCATGGTTGTTCCATGGCTGTTCCTGTTGCAAGCACGACACTGTTTACTATTTGCAGGCATGATCGAATTGTACAATTTAGTACACTCTCAGATTCACTCCAGTAACAATGTGCTTTACGTGTGAGAATCGTGGTTAAATGCACTCTGTCGCATACTCGCTTGGTTGCGTCAACAGGGCTGTAGGGGCGTTGGAAAAGATAGAGAAGTTAAACG